GGGATATCCCTTTGGTCAGTTGGGGTCAGCTGTCCCAGCTGTGTCCCCTCCCAACGTCTTGTGCACCCCCAGCCTGCTCACTGGTGGGGTGGTGTGAGAAGCAGAAAAGGCCTTGACTCTGTGTAAGCACTGCTCAGCAACAGCTAAAACATCCCTGTATTACCAACACTGTTTCCAGCACAAATCCAAAACGCAGCACTATACCAGCTACTATGAAGAAAATTAACTCTATCCCAGCCAAAACCTGCACAACTGGCATTTTTAAACGCTGCAATTCATAGTACTTCACCTTGAGAATTGCCTTAACTACACCTGCTTTGAGGAGCAGGTTGGACTAGATGACTCTAGGGCTCCTGCCCAATCTAGAGGATTCCACAAGTCTCACCTGATGTCCTGTACTAAAGTCCATGGCCCTTTGTTGATATATTTGTAAGTTTTGTGGCCATTGATAAGGTGAAATGTTTGAGTGAACAAGACGGAGCAAGTTTGATTTTCATAGGTCATTGCTACAAGGACAAAGTAAAGATCATTTAGCTATGTAATCTGAGAAACAAAAACTTAGAGATATATGTGCATGAGTTTCTAGATGAGTTTAGAGTGATTGCTATGTATGGTATGATATATATTGATATATATATGATATGAAATATACGATATGTACGGTATATATTTGTTGCTAACGTCCTGGGACACATATTTATCTACCATGTGTGCTTTATAATGTTAATTAGCATGTGGAAATGAATGAAATAACCTAACACAAGAAGAGAGGAGTTAGCTTTTTTTGACTTTCAGAACTTAAATTTTAAAATATACTTAGCCTGCTGTGGTGTACCAGCAGCCTTAACATCACCATAGTAGGGTTTAGTGGATAGGGATAAAGTTGTGCAGTCTTAGACTTTTCATTTCACTTTTTCAGTTTTTTATTACAATTTTGGACAGCACCTTAAATTTTTGTTCAGAAGGAAGAGTGCAGAACAGTATTTTTCTCAGAGTGCCAAACTAGAACCGTGGCATGATTTTTCTTTTGTTCCAGCACAGGAAAATTCAGCCCTATTTCACCTGTTACTATCCTGTGACTATATGGGGGGGGGGGGGAATGTTTTCCAGATTTTTTAATTGAGAATAATTTTGTCTTTAAACATGCTTGTTGAATCTAAAAATCCATTTGCTATTTGGCTGGTTGAAATGGATGCCATTAACAAGCAGCTGCTTCATGAGACCCTTGTTGTGAAGCTCAGCCAGTTAGTTACCTCTGTGGTTTCACATCTCACCCACCATTTCGTTCTACAATGGCTTGTTTGTTTGTGAATCACCAGGGAACTGCGAGTTGGCCAAGCAGGAGCTCCCACAGCCGTAGGTTGTGATGCCTCCCTCGCTCCGGCCGGTGTCCCGCAGGAAGCAAGGAAAAGCTCTAACCGTACCGTCTCAAGTTAAAATTTCTGACAGCATAGCTTGTGTTGTCCAAATGTTGTCCCCATTTGTGGGGACTTGTTGGTGCTAGAAACCGATATTCTTACAGAACATGCCCTTTCAAAAAGAGAAGGGGGAGCTCTGTACATGCACAGAGCCCTGTGTGTCCTCAGCCCTTATCAGCTCCACCGAAGGCAGGGCTATGCGGCCAGCCGCAGCCCTGTGGCGGTTTTGAGGAAAAACCAGCAATGAGCGTCACACCGGTGTTATCAGCAAAAAACCCGAGTGCTTTTCTTTCATGTCGCGGTGTTTCAAAACGTCTGGCCAGTGGTGTGAACTGTGAATGAGTATTACGTACCATAAAACCTGGTGGTTTCCTGGATTAGGCCAATTAGTGTTTGTTTAGATAATTCAGGGCTTGAATGACTTCCTCTCCGGAAGCCCCGAGACTGAAGTGCTAAGGCAGCACACCTCGGCTGAGCTTTTTTTTTTTTGCTCTGAAAGGCTTGTAGAAGATAATCACAACTTTACAAATATGGGTGAACTGCAGATCATGTCTTACAAGAGGAAGCATTATTCACAGCACTTCTGTTATTTACTGATTGGAATTACAGCCTTGATTTCATGCAATGGCTATTCTGTGATGATGCCTGAATTTGAAGCCCGGAACTTGAACTTCACACAGCTCCATCAAGTCTCTAGGGGTTGCAGAGGTGAGGAAGGGATATACTATTTTAGTGTACGTTTTCATTTGCAATTTTTTTAGTATGTTCCATATTTCTGAATAAAATGGTCTATAACAAGCCAGTAGCATTTCTCTGATACACCTTCCTTTATGAGTAGGTCTCTGCTGCTGCTGAGGAAGAACTGGGTGGGTTCTGTTAGGTCCCTGAAAATGGCTTTTCACATTAAACCACTCAAATATGAAGCAGAGCAATCTTGTCTATAAAGAGTTATTCCAGTCTTAAGGAAATAACTTCAAGAACAAATCAGCCTTGGACATCTGTTTTGCCTTTATTTTTTCTTTGCAGTACAATTTCCATACTAGAAAAGCACACACATGGCTGTACATATGTTGTTTAATATCTTAATTGCAATTATGATCAAAAAATGAGGAAGGAAGTCTATGACTAGGAGAGCAAGGCAGAGATGGAGTTAAGCATATGGGATAGACCAATATTCTTGACTTCTCCTTCAGGGAATAGATGTCATCTGTCATTCCCCCTAGCCTGGAAGAGATTCTATCACAGGGATATGCTTCATCCATAATGATGAGATCACCTTTTCTGCTCCTCGGGAAGCTGAAGGCGGTGAAAAAAGTTTGCTTCCCTCAAGATCCTGGCAAAGTTCTAACAAACAGCAAAAACAAGGGGGCGGGAAAAAGATACCCAAGGGAATCCAGACATGCTCTGTCATAGCTGTATGACACAAGTGACTATTTGAATTGCTGGGATATGTGGATTTGTCCTTTCTTTAAAAATTGGTTATGTTTGTTCTCATGCCTTCTTTAGCAGTTTCAGGTTGCTGTTTCCCCTCATGTAAGATGCAGGAATGTGCGGAACAATACAAAAAGGTTACTTGGTGGAGCTTCAGGTTAAACACCTTGCAGTTGACAACTCAGCTGCTCAAATAAAGTTAGTTTAGTTTCTCCCAATATATAGTCTTGTAAGTTCAGTCTCAATATATTTGATGTGATTTGAAGTATTCAGTGGGGGAAAACCAAATTTTTTATTATTATTTTGCAGGTGGCTTCAGGTGAATGCAATGAAGACACTGAGGTTTACAACATCACCCTTAGCACTGGGGATGAGCTCACTTTAATGGGGCAAGCAGAAATCCTTTATGCGAAATCTTCTAAGGAGAAGTCACGACTCAACACCATCTTCAAAAAAATTGGGAAACTTAATTCAATTAGTAAGTTAGGCAGAGGCAAAATGCCCTGCCTCATCTGCATGAACCACAGGACCAATGAAAGCATCAGTCTCCCTTTCCAGTGTAAAGGCAAGTTTAGCACCCGCAGCCCGTTGGAGGTGCAGATGCAAGAAGGTGAGCACACGATTCGCAATATAGTAGAAAAAACCAGGCTGCCCGTTAACGTGACTGTGCCGAGTCCTACACCAAGAAACCCTTATGACCTGCATTTTATCCGCGAAGGGCACAGGTACAAGTTTGTCAACATTCAAACCAAGACTGTGGTGGTTTGTTGTGTGCTTCGTGGCAACAAAATTATTCCCATGCATTTTCCCTTGCACTTGACGCTTCCGAAATTTACTCTACCTGACAGTCTGGTGAAGGGAGAGCTGTGGCACGAATCCATCATCCAGCACTGGTTTAATATATGCCAGGAACAGTTTGACATCGATGAGTATTCCCGTGCTGTGCGAGATGTGAAAACTGACTGGAACGAAGACTGCAAGAGCCCGAAGAAGAGCCGATGCACTGGGCACAGCCACGTGCCGAACTCCCTCAGCTACGCACGGGACGAACTTACGCAGTCCTTCCACCGGCTTTCGGTGTGTGTCTATGGAAACAACTTGCATGGGAATAGTGAAGTGAACCTCCACGGCTGCAGGGACTTGTGTAACGAGTGGGCCCTGTTCTCTCATGATGCTCTTCAGTACCAGGAGTCTGGTGACAGTAGCAGTGATTATCTTTTCCCTGAAGTTAGCGAAGAATCGATGTTTCTGCCTACAAAACCAGAACTTCCTTACGAAGAGCTGTGGTTGGACCAAGGGTCTGGAAAGGCTGGTGACCAGCCTCTTACTCGCTCGCTAAGTGAGAAGAACAAATGTGACAGCTACAGAGGGTCTTTCCGATCAAAGTGTGGTACCGCATCTCTTACTGCGACTGTCGGAGCAACCACAAAGTCTTCGGATGTTTCCCTACCTCCACCTCCAGTGCCTCCCAAATCAGAAGCAGTAAGTCAGGGTTATTTATGTTGGTTTGTTTCTTTTTCTAGCCAGTGAAGAGTTTGCTTGGGGATTTTTTTAGGGAAGACTTGGGGGGGGGGAGGGGACACATGGAGGGCAAGGAACCGGTGAGACTTTGTGAGATATGCAACTTCAACTAGTTTCCTACCAAGTGTAAGTCGTGTCCTAAAAATCACTGGAGTATATTCACTATAACTGATCCTAGTAGCTTAATCCTGATACTTTCAGGTGATATTTATTGAGGGGTTTTGCTCCCACAAACAAGGTCTAAAAATTGCTTCCTTCCCTTGCTTTCCACATCATCTCTCCACGTGGCCTCCATGTTTTCTCATATTTTCTGTGGCCGAAGCATGTGGGGCATGACTCCACTTGGAACTGCCTCGGATCACCTTAGTGTGTGCATCTTCAATTAACAGGCCCTGATAAGGGCGACAGCTGCAATTTTTATGGATTTCAAGTGTTTGTTAATGAGAGATTGTCTTCTCTGTTACGAGTCTATGGCAGATTTTTAAGAATATTAAGTGTCATTGACCTCAAGGAAACTTTATCAAGCTAGACCTGAACTAATCGCTCTGTACTGCTTTTTGAAAGAAAACATGTTTAAATAGGAACTCTGCAGAGTTGATAAATGAGCCTTCTAGAGGACTCAATTTTAAACAGAGTATGTTTCCTGTCCTAGGGTTTCTAGTGAAAACTTGTGGGAGAAATCACTTCTCCAAACCTGAAATGTCATGGAGACTTCAGAGGCAAAAATACAAATACGTTTTATTAACAGGAACTTACGTGGAGTGGGTGGAAAATCCAACCATTACGTGGTCTCTTGACATAGTCCTAAACATTATTTTTTAAAAAACACGAAGTAAAAAAGAAAACTTCCCCCAGGAAAGAATGTCTAGGAATCTTTAGCAAAATTTAAGTGATACATACTTACGTCACATGAATCTTGACAGATATTATAATTTAACAAGTTAGTTTTGCAGGGGTTTTGCTGGAATTTAAATACAGAAAATATTGTTCCATTTGCAAGTCCAATGATATTTTCAAGAGCATGGCTGCATAGTAAGCTGAGACTAATCTAAGACCAAACTGCAGCAAACCATGGTGATCCCATCCCTTTCCTATTGCCATCTTGCAGTCCAGCAGTGTTGGCCATAGCCTTTCCATCATGAGCCAGGTCACAATCTGGTTGAAAGCTAAGTTGTATTTATTTGTGCTGGATTAGCCTGCAGTGGATTGCTGTGGGGATCCCCCGGCCAGGCAGTGCAGCTGCTGGGGAGGGGCGGCGAGGAGAGGGGAGGAGAACGCCAGCGCAGGCACGAAAGGCACAACTGCAGCCCTTTGACGGTGCCGCCAAAACTTCCCCAAAAAGCAGCCGCAGCAGCTTCAGCAAAGATAGGAAATTCAAGACATTACGTCTTCTCAGCAAAGAGTGTTTACGTGTAATGTCTAAGTGCAGGAACCCAAGAGCACTTCCTTGCCTCCGAGGTCAGGTATGCTCTGACACTTTGTCCAGACTCTTTTGGACAAGTGCCCAGCAGCACCGTATCGGGATGAGGTTCCCTGGCAGCCTACGCTGATGTAAACCGGCATGGGGCTGGTCCCACCCTCCTCCTCCTCCTCTTTCTCCTTTCCCAGC